CCCGAAGATGACCACTCTTTGGGTGCTGCTGCACATAGCCGCTCAGCGCGACTACGAGCTTCACTCTCTTGACTTCAGCACTGCTTTCCTGCAGGGCAGCCTGCACGAGGAGATCTGGCTGCGCCGCCCACCTGGCTTCACTGGGTCATTTCCCCCTGGTACCCAGTGGAGCCTACGGCGGCCAGTCTACGGTCTCCGCCAGGCGCCCCGTGAGTGGCACGACACACTGAGGACTACACTTGCGGCTCTTTGGTTTGCTCCTTCTACAGCCGACCCGTCGCTGTTTCTACGCACCGACACCTCTTTGCCGCTGTTCTATATCCTCGTGTACGTCGACGACTTGGTCTTTGCCACTGCTGACACTGCTGGACTCGCCCACGTGAAGTCCGAGCTGCAGAAGAGACACACGTGCACAGACCTGGGTGAACAGCGTAGCTACCTTGGCTTGCAGATCACCTGGGACAGAGCACGCTGCACCATCACCCTGACTCAGTCACACATGGTGCAACAGGTCCTTCAGCGCTTCGACTTCACGTACTCCTCGCCTCAGGCCACTCCTCTGTCTACTCGCCACTCGCTCTCAGCTCTGCCTTCGGATGAGTCCGTAGAGCCGAGTGGCCCGTACCCAGAGCTTGTTGGCTGCCTCATGTACCTGATGACCTGCACACGACCTGACCTTGCATACCCTCTTAGCATCTTGGCACGCTATGTTGCTCCTAGGAGACACCGACCAGAGCACATGGCTGCAGCAAAGAGGGTGTTGCACTACTTGTGCAGTACGTCGGGCATGGGGCTAGTGCTTGGAGGGCGACGTTCAGTGGTCCTCACAAGTCACGCAGACGCTTCTTGGGCTGACGACCAGGCTAGGCAGCGGTCGTCACAGGGTTACACCTTCAGCCTTGGTTCCGGCTCTGTTTCGTGGCGGTCTACCCGCTCGCCTTCTGTTCTCACCTCCAGCTGTGAGGCTGAGATCTACGCGGGGGCCATGGCTGCACAGAAGCTACGCTGGCTCACCTACCTGCTGACTGACCTAGGAGAGCCGCCTCGTTCTCCTTTAGTTCTGGATGTAGACAACAAGGCCATGCTGGCCTTGTGTCAAGAGCACAGACTGGAGCACAGAACGAAGCACATTGCTCTTCGCTACTTCCTTGCTCGTGAGTTGCAGCAGCGTGGTCAGTTGCGCCTTGCTTACGTGGCCTCTAGGGCCAACACTGCTGATATCTTTACTAAGGCACTTCAGCCTTGTGATCATCAGCGCTTTTGTACGATGCTAGGTCTTGTGCCTACTTGGTCTTACTTGCTCACTTCTTGACCTTGCTTGTACTGTGATCCATCTATGCCTGCCCTTGCTTGTTTACCTCTATATATAGTCTTGCATGTGAACTGGCCTTGTGGCCTTGAACTTGTGCTCGGAATGTGTGGTGACGTTGTGATCCACCCAGAGCTTGCTGTGCTTTGCTTGACTGGTCTTGTGACCTCTTGTTCTCCCCCACTTTGCTTATGTTGTGTCAAACATATATGCTATAGTCTATCTAGGCTGTAGTGGGGTAGATAATATAGGGTACAACACTTCTAGGTTTCCTACTTATACCCACATGTTTCCTAGTCATTTCATTCCTCGTTCTTTCACAGTAATAACAATGTAAAAATAATTCACACACAAGAAGCTGCACTCGGATAGAACATAAATATTGCCCACTAAGCACCCCTTTTCGTTAATGAATAAAAAGTAAGAACCTACGGTGGTACACAGGGGAAATTTTATCAGGGTAAATCACGCTGATACCTTGATAATCAGGGTGGTTTTTGGGGGTCATACTGATGGCCCCGGGTAATTTTTTTAGGAGCTAGTTTTACCATGATGAACCAGGGTTTACATTTATGTCACACTGATGGATAAGGGTTCCCGGATCCTATAACGAGTTTCACCTCAGCTTACGTCCACCCGAAACACTGAGATCGCCCTGACCTTCTCATCACATTGAGGGGCGCAGCAAAGCAACCTTCATGCATTTGCGGCAGTCATTACCCACCAGGGCCCAAAATTGGTTTAGGCCTACCCTTACAAATCAGGGTTCCAGCCCCTCCTTAGCCCGACCCCTAGGGTAAAAATTTTCGTACCCTGTTTGCAGCAGGGTAAATCAACCTATAGCCTGATTTGGTCAGGGTAGTTTTAGGCTAAGCCTATTTCGGCTACTATTTTGTGAGCTAAGTTTTTTATACTGACATAATAAAGTAGCACTCACAAGAGGGTCCTCGCTATCAGACAATTTTGTCTGTTTGTCCTAGAAATCAGACGTTTTTTTCTCAGTTAATCTGATTTTCCTATATTTGATTTCGATTTCATCTGATTGGCTAGAAATCATTTTTAGTTTCATCTGTTGCATCGGAAACGTATTTTCTAATTCATCTGAAACTGAATCATGTTATAGCCTATAATTGCGAGCATTTCCTTATCTGAGATGTCAACCGGACCTGTCAGAATCCCAACCACTAGACCATTGGGATAAAAGGGCTTGTTTCAGTAGCGGGTCAGTGCGCCCGTAACCCCCCAGGCAAACGCGCTTGTAACCCCCCCTAGGATCGATCGGGGATCTCACAGTGTAGCTCTACTGACAGGACCTGCTATGATTGGGCGAAGCATTCTCTGACAGGGCGAATCATTGTGTAAGGGCGAATCTGCTCTTGTGTCAGGGTACTTCTGCTGTGATTGGGCAAATTTGCTGCTCTCTAACAGCGCAAAATTGTGATTAGGCGAATTCGCTGTGCTCTGACAGCACGAAACCACCGTGCCAGGGCGAATTTGCTGTCAGAGATTTTTGGAAATATCTGACCAATCGGACACAGAAATATCAAATTTCTGACGGCCAATATCATACATACTCAAAGTATGCCCGAAAACGATTGCAGGTGTAATCAGGCCAACAGTAATCCGAACAGTGGCACTGTTCCCAACAAAAATCTGTCTTGGCGCGCCACCCGCAGCTTCACCAGTTGACCCACGTTGCTTCTGTACAGTGAAGGCACCACAGTGCAGGCATGTCAGAAGCGAATCCCACACCACACACGCATCTGTCCACAAATCGAGCCCCCCAACCCAAACCAAAGCGGCAGCCTCCCCCACCTCCTACCCCTAACCCCCCAAACCGAACCTGCGGGTACCCAACGGTACTCGTTGTGGAACTCCCTCCCGCCAAGTCCCTTGTTCTCGATTGGGATTACCGTGACAAGCAGAAGCCGCAGAAACAAAACTACAACGACCATGGAAACGCACACACATATGTTTCACATATGTGTAAGAAACATTGACATGTTGAGATAGAGAGAAAGAGATATTTATATTTTGTATATATTATTCAGTATTATTTAAGATACACATATGTACATGCTCCTAAAAATATTTATCGACGATTGAAATGAGACCGCCGGAGTGCTGACATCGCTGTTGCGGTATTCACCTGCGAATGAATTGTAAAATGCATGCTCAATGTCGCATTGCATTTCGTTCCTTGATATACAGCTTAGCATTCCGCCTAATTATTTAGTGTCTTCCTTGATATAAGATAAACTCGTGCCAAAATTCTATGTGAACACAAGTGGTAGCAAAAACATTGCTAGAACTCTACGATCATCTACACAACCATCTGCCTTTCTCCGTAGTCTCCCATTGTAGGGTGACTTTCAGTTGGGGGGGGGGGGGGGGGGGGGGGGGGGGAGAGAGAGAGAGAGAGAGAGAGAGAGAGAGAGAGAGAGAGAGAGAGAGAGAGAGAGAGAGAGAGAGGGAGGGAGAGAGAGAGAGAATATGAATGAGAGAGAGAAAGAAATAAAGAAAAACCAAAACAGGTTAGTGTAGCAAAGCACCGTTGAGGATTTTTATAATTACCAAATACGACAGGGGTTCGAGTAGGTCAGGTAATTCACAGACGTACCTTACAAATAAATCCTTTACGCTTTGGTAGCTAATGTATTTTGTACGTTGGAATTGTATACGTCTACTTAAAAAGGTTCTTGGTCTTGATGCCGTCAAGCACACACTAAAGTGTGTCACCGGCCAAAATAAGGTACGCAAGTTAAGCAATAATAGAAACATGGGTTAGGCACATGTTTTGAAGAAGAGGTGAGTCCTGCGAAGAGAGAGAGCGAGCGAGAGTCAGCAAGAGATAGGGGGAGAGAGCGTGAGGTGCGGCACGATACCTGCCCTGACGTGATGCTCTACTGATTCCCTGTGTCGAGCGCCTGGTTAGCATTGACTCTCGCCTCAGTTGACGTTGATAGCGCTGCTGCTGGTATGCAGACCTGCATCCTGAAAGTGCCCTGATTCCCAGGATTGAAGTGGAATCTGCTGTTGTATCAATGGCTGCTGTTGCTGTTGCATCCCTGGCTGCTGCTACTGCATCAGTGGCTGCTGGTGCATCAATGGCTGCTGTTGCTGTTGCACCAGTGGCTGCTGCTACTGCTGCATCATCAGCTGCTGTTGCAATTGCAGCACCTGTTGCTGCAGCTGCTTGATCAACAGTGTTGCATCAGGCTGCTGCTGAACCATAGGATCCTGTCCCCTTGATCTCCCATTTGCTCGACCACCTTGACGTGGACGCTGAGCTTGATTTTGTCTCCTCCTAACCCTTCGACCACTAGGCTGTGTGCGTCCTTGCCCAAGATCGGAGTCCTCATTCTCCTCAGCCCCTCCCCCTTCCTCCTCACCTTCCTCAGGGACCACCTCAACCTGTAACCTGAACCCTTGTCTTCGTCTTAGCCGTCGCGTTGCAACTGGCTCATTGACATAAGGCTGGTCTTGCACACGAACATGTGACCAGAATGGTGCCATTGGATTTGAGGTCTGATGGGGGCTTCCATCCATCGGCTGCGCGTCACCAACACCTTGGGTAATATAGTCTGTTGTGAGTGCATGGCTGTCTGGAATTACTTGACCATCATTGTGCATGCTCAGATCCTCCCCCACCAATGCACCTCTGTTTGTGGCTGCGCTAGCAATGCGAGAGATGTTGACAGTTGTGTTCGGATTGGGACCAGGTACTTGCATGCGCGTCTCGTTCGCGGACGGCACCTCGTCAGAGGTACCGTATGGACCCTCCATTTGCAGCCGTGCATCTCCCAGTGTAAGGACCTCTAAGGTCACTCCCTGTTCCCTACCATTGGTGCTATCAAGCTGCAACTCCCCTTCTTCAACATCTGATTCATCACCATCACACTCATCATCAGATGAGCCTTCTTCCTCGTCAACGCCAACCTCACATGCCAGCATTGGAGCATCACCATGTGTTCCCGCATTTCCTTCTGTGTCCACACCTCCTATGACCGTTGCGGCAGGCCCCTGATGCTCGTCCACCATTTCCGTATTTTCCTCCTCTTCTTCATGGCTACCTGTCTCTTCGTCAGCACCTTCCTCAAGGTCCTCAATCTCAACCACCCACTCAGCAGGTGGGGTCGAACCACGGACACGGTGTGGTCTATCCATATTCTGCCGCATCAAATCTCTGAAGGGCAGTCCCACTCTTCCCGGCAGCTGCCCGCTTCCCTGTGCTGCCCACTTCCCTGCAGCTGCCCACTTCCCTGCTGCTGCCCACTTCTCTGCAGCTGCCCACTTCCCTGCTGCTGCCCACTTCCCTGCTGCAGCCCACTTCCCTGCTGCCCACTTCCCTGCTGCTGCCCACTTCCCTGCTGCTGCCCACTTCCCTGCTGCCCACTTCCCTGCTGCTGCCCACTTCCCTGCTGCTGCCCACTTCCCTGCAGCTACCCACTTCCCTGCCCCTGCCCACTTCCCTGCTGCTGCCCACTTCCCTGCTGCTGCCCACTTACTTGCTGCTGACCATGTCCCTGCTGTTGTCGTCGACGGCAATCGTCTCTGAACCTGTGTTGACGCCCACATGCCGTGCATGAAATGTACGTTCCACCGACCCGTAGAACTACACTTGTTTGCAGGGCAATGTGGTCCTGAACCGACCTTTGTCCTCTCCGTGCCCGTGCCTCTTCCCGATCCTCACATGTGCGAACGTTGTGCCCCTTCTGCTTGCACCTACTGCATTTGCGCAACTTGAGAGGGTCAAACTCACCTCTCGAGCAAATGCGCTTGTTTTTCCTTCGTCCAGACCTTTTCTTGTACTTCGGAGGAATGTCAAACTTATATCATATAGCTTGTCTAGGCTATAGTGGGGTAGACACTATGGGGTACACTTTCCTAGGGTTTCCTACTTGTACCCAACCTTGTGCTAGTTCATTCATTCCTCATTTCTTCACATGGTATAGAGCAGGTTCCCTAGTGGGAACGCTTCCTTGGGCCCACCACTGAAATTTTTTTTTTGACCGGAGCGTCAGTCGCTCCTGCCCGAGGCGCGGCTTGTTCGCCGCCCTTCCAGGCCCCTCGCGGCCCCTAGCGGCCTCGTCGCCTCCCCTAGCGGCCCCGTCGCCGCCTCTCTACCTAAGCGGCCCCGTCGCCGCCCCTACGCGGCCCCATCGCCGCCCCTAGCACCCCCGTCATTGAGGGGTGTTCCCCTTCCCCCCTCTTGCCCTCTGTTGCTTCTGCTGCTGTGGCCGACCTCGTTGGTTTCGAGCCGGTTGGCGCTGCGTCTACCCCTAGCGGGAGACGCCGCACCGGCAAGGGCAAGGGGGGCAAGGGCGCTGGAGGGGCTGGCGGGGGCGGTGGAGGTGGTGGTGGAAGCAGTGGAGGGGGTGGGGGTGGTGGTGGGAGTGGTGGCGGGGGTGGAGGTGTCGGTGGCAGCAGTGGAGGCGGAGGAGGCGGCGGCGGTGGCGGAGGGAGCGGAGGCGGCGGAGGTGGCAGAGGCGGCGGGGGTGGCGGAGGCGGCGGCGGCAACGGTGGAGCTGGTCGCGGCTCTGCGCAGAGGAGTGGGTCTGGTGGTGGTCCGCGCCAGCAGCACCAGCGCAGTCCTGAGACCCTGTCCCCTCAGCAGCTTCGTGAGTGGTACGCTGCGCGTCAGCGCGGTGGGGGTACTGGTCCCTGCACCTACGTCCTCCGTACCGGCGACTGCGCTGGTGAGCAGTGCGGGGGCCCGCACTCCACCCAGCGCTGCTTCGGCCGCCTGACGGACGCGTGGCGTCACCAGTTGCTTGACGCCACTGAGATCCCTCGCTGGGGAGAGGTGTCTAGGGCGGGGGTTGCTATCTTTGATCTTGATTATGATGCTATTCTTGCTGCCATGTATGCTGTGTCTGATAGTGTTGAGGGTGACTGTTACCTGTGTGTTCCGCCTGACCCGGGCATTGAGGCTGCTGCTCTAGGTGCTAGTGCGTCTGCTGCCCCAGGTGCTGGTGAGTCTGCTCTCTCAGGTACTACGTCGGCTCAGGCCTTACACACCTTCACCTTTGACTCAGGTGCTTCCCGCTCCTTCTTTCGAGACCGCACCACGCTTACGCCGCTTAGTTGGCCGGTTGTGGTCTCCCTGGCGGACCCCTCTGGGAGTCCTGTCCTTGCTAGCTTCTCCACTGTCTTACCGTGCCCGGCAGCCCCCTTTGGCACCCTGTCAGGTCTCTACCTCCCCTCGTTCTCTACAAACTTGGTGAGTGGAGCTGATCTACAGGATAGGGGGGTTGACCAGTTCACTCCTGCGAGTCAGCGGGTGACCCACTGTACGTGTGCTCGGACAGGCCGACACTTGGCCATGTTCACCCTTCGGCCGCGGTCGAGCCTGTAAACACTTACTACTGAGTCTCCTCCGGCTGCAGAGTCTGGTCAGGTAGCTGCTGTGGATAACTGAACAAGAATGAATGACTAAGGAATGGAAGTGATACAAATATGAAACCCTAATTGGGTTGTACCCCCTATGGGATACCCCACTATAGCCTACACAAATAAGTAAGCTATAATGTTCTGACACACCCCCATAGGCAAAGTCGGGGAGAACAAGGGGTCACAAGACCAGTCAAGCAAAGCAAAGCAAAGCTCAGGGTGGATCACAAAGTCACCACACATTCCGAGCGCAAGGTCAAGGGCCACAAGGCCAGTTCGCATGCAAGATCATATATAGAGATATACAAGAGTCAAGCAAGCAAGAGCAAGAGTATATATAGGTCAAGGTACAAGCAAGGTCAAGAAGTGAGCAAGTGAGGCAAGACAGGCACAAGACCCAGCTGCGTGCAACAACGCTGATGATCACAAGGCGCAAGTGCCTTGGTGAAGACATCAGCAGTGTTGGCCTCAGAGGCCACGTACGCAAGTCGCAACTGTCCACGCTGCTGCAGCTCACGAGCAAGAAAGTAGCGGAGAGCAATGTGCTTCGTCCTGTGCTCCAGTCGCTGCTCTCGACACAAGGCCAGCATGGCCTTGTTGTCTACGTACAGGACTGGAGGAGAACGAGGCGGCTCTCCAAGGTCGGTCAGCAGGTAGGTGACCCAGCGAAGCTCCTGAGCAGCCATAGCCCCGGCGTAGATCTCAGCCTCACAACTGGAGCCGAGAACAGAAGACGAGCGAGTAGCCCGCCACGAGACAGAGCCGGAACCAAGACCGAAGGTGTAACCCTGTGACGACCGCTGCGTAGCCTGGTCGTCAGCCCAAGAAGCGTCCGCGTGCCCAGTGAGGACCACTGGACTGCGCCCTCCAAGCACTAGCCCCATGCCCGACGTACTGCACAAGTAGCGCAACACCCTCTTCGCTGCAGCCATGTGCTCTGGTCGGTGTCTCCCAGGAGCAACATAGCGTGCGAGAATGCTGAGAGGGTATGCAAGGTCAGGTCGTGTGCAAGTCATCAGGTACATGAGGCAGCCAACAAGCTCTGCATACGGGCCACTCGACTCTACGGACTCATCCGAAGGCAGAGCTGAGAGCGAGTGGCGAGTAGGCAGAGGAGTGGCCTGAGGCGAGGAGTACGTGAAGCCGAAGCGCTGAAGGACCTGCTGCACCATGTGTGACTGAGTCAGGGTAATGGTGCGGCGTGCTCTGTCCCGGGTGATCTGCAAGCCAAGGTAGCTGCGCAGTTCACCCAGGTCAGTGCACGTGTGTCTCTTCAGCAACTCAGACTTCACGTAAGCGAGTCCAGCAGTGTCCGATGTGGCAAAGACCAAGTCGTCGACGTACACGAGGATGTAGAACGGCGGCAGAGAGGTGCCGGTGCGCAGAAACAGCGACGGGTCGGCAGTAGAAGAAGCAAACCCAAGTGCCGCAAGCGTAGTCCTCAGTGTGTCGTGCCACTCACGTGGCGCCTGGCGGAGACCGTAGACTGGACGCCGGAGACTCCACTGGGTACCTGGAGGGAAAGACCCAGTAAAGCCAGGTGGGCGACGCAGCCAGATCTCCTCGTGCAGGCTGCCCTGCAAGAAAGCTGTGCTGAAGTCAGGAGAGTGCAGCTCGTAGTCACGGTGAGCAGCAACGTGCAGCAGTACCCGAAGAGTGGTCATCTTCGGGGTGGGGGAGAAGGTCTGAAAGTAGTCAACCCCCTGCCGCTGACTGAAGCCACGAGCCACGTAACGCGCCTTGAAGACAGGCGGAGAACCCGGCGGCCGCTTCACCCTGAAAATCCACATGCCACTGACGATGTTCGCCCCAGGAGGGGGAACAGCGTCGACGTAGGTGCCTGTGGACTTCCAGGAAGCCATCTCTGCATCCATAGCTGCCTGCCACTGAGAGGAGTAGGGACCCTCTATCGCCTCCGCGTAAGAGCGCGGAGTCGGGATGTCTAGTGCATCCGGGTCTCCCTCAGGGGCTAGCAGTACAGACGCGAGATGAGGTGAAGCGGCGGCCAGACACTAGAACTCCTCCTGCCTGTCCTCAAGGACGTCCGTGCCGAGGGCACACTCACCCCCGACGGACGGAGGACAGGCAGACTCAGACTCAGCGACAAGACTAGCAGCGTAGTCTAGACGACAGCGCGCAGCAAAGTCGACGAGCTCAGTGACAAGGGCAGACGCAGCAGAAGACTCGAAAGAAGGGTCAGTGACAGCAGTAGCAAGAAGACGCGTGACAGTAGGACTGGCAGCACGAAGAGAGTCCGACTCCGGGTCGGCAAGAGCAGGAAGAGAGGAAGCAGGAGGAGAAGGCAAAGGGGCACGCAGAGGAGCAGTAGACGGACGCAGAGACATCCGGTGCGTGCCAGGGACAGGAGGAGGACGCTGACGCGAACCACGACCACTAGTGCGCGCAGTACGAACAGGCGACGCAGGACGAGACGCAGGCTCACGACGCTCAGTAAGCCCTCCTGTCGGACCAGCGTAGGGAGAAGGAGCAGGCAAAGGTGAGGCAGGCTGTAGCTGTGACTGTGACGAGACAGGCTGTGGACCCTCTAAGGGAGGAGGAGGAGGACCAGGAGAAGAAGTAAGACCAAGAACCTGCTGCAGGAGCGGAACGAAGTACGGCCAGGGCCGCGCGGCGACGCCAGAAACAGCAGGGACAGCACCAGTACCCCCAGGAGGAGTACCCGCTCCAGCAGCACCTCCAGTAGCTCCAGAACCTCCAGCAGCACCACCAGGAGCACCACCAGTCGGACCTCCAGCGGCAGTCTCAGCGTCAACACCCTCAGCAGCACCAGCTCCAGGAGAACCCTCAGACCCAGCAGCACCAGCACCCACAGTACGAGCACCGCCGGGACGCTCGGCAGCAGTACCCTCTGCAGCCGAAGAACCTCCAGCACCAGCAGCACGCCTCCAGCGCCAAGCAAACCACTCACGTAGCTCCGGAGGGGAGAGTGGCTCTCGGCGAGACGAAGCACCTCCAGGCGGAGCACCCCCAGTCTCAGCACCCCCAGGCTCAGCACCCCTAGGCTCAGCACCCCCAGGCTCAGCACCCCCAGGCTCAGCACCCCCAGGCTCAGCACCCCAAGGCTCAGCACCCCCAGGCTCAGCACCCCCAGGCTCAGCACCCCCAGGCTCAGCACCTCCAGACTCCGCACCCCCAGGCTCAGCACCCGCAGGCGTAGCACCTCGAGGCTCAGCACCCCCAGGCTCAGCTCCCGCAGCAGCACCAGAGTCACCAGTGACCTCGACAGGCTCGACCGCGTCTACGTGGGACACACCTGAAGGGGCAGGACCCTGAGGTGGGAGGGGGTCTACCGGGGGGGGACCTGGTACCAAGAACAGCGGGGGCGGGGGGAGGGACGGAGTGCGGTAGGGGAAGAGGCGGTAGTAGGGTACCGACTCGTCGAACGTGACGTCCTGGGAGGACAGAACACGTCGAGAGGTGGGGTGGTAGAACTGCCACCCAGGGGCGTCGGGGGGGAACCCCAGGAAGACGCTGGGAGCAGCGCGAGGGGACAGCTTGTCCGCAGACAAGTCGCGGACAAACGTCCGAGATCCCCAGACCCGCAACGCCGACGCATCGCCAACCTTCCCCGTCCACAGCAGCGCTGGGGAGGTCTCCGGCCTGGAGACCCTGGGGTGGAGGTTGATCTGATGCGCTGCGTACCTGACCGCAAACGGCCACAGAAAATGGGGGGCAGCCGCATGCATCATGTACGTACGAGCGACGTCCATGACCATGCCAATGCGGCGCTCTGGAATCCCATTTTGCTGCGGGGAGTCCGGAAGCGTGAAGGTCTGGCGGATGCCTCGCGCACGACAGTGGGCACGCAGAAGGCCAGAGGAGAACTCTCCGCCTCTGTCCGAGTGCAGACGCAACACAGGAAAGTCCGAGCCAAAGCTCTGCCTGAGCTGGAGACGAGCTGGGCGGATCCAGTCGATCAGCACCTCAGTGACATCACCCTTGCTGCGCAAGGGGAAGACTGTGGTGTAACGCGAGTAGTCGTCAACCACCAGCAGGAAGTAGCGCTCGTGACCGAGTCCACGGACGCGGGCAGGGCCCCACTCGTCCATGTGAAGCGTCTGCAACGGAGCCTCTGTCGGAGGAAACTGGGAGGAGTGAAGGGCAGCACGCTGGCGCCCCTCGACACAGGGGACACAGGCAGGGCCAGGGCCCTGAGGAAGGGGAGGTAGAGACCGGGGGAGACCAGACACAAGAAGACGGGAGGCCATGCCTCTGAGCCGAAGAAGAGAGGGGTGGCCAAGACGGTGGTGCCAGAGGAGGGTCTCGTGAGACAGACGGCGACACAAACAGGGGGCAGACTCAGGACCAGACCTGGACGCTGCAGCAAACACCTGACCAGACGAAGGGACTCTACCAGACTCAGCACCTGGAGGAGAAGCAGTGGTCATTGTGTACAGGCTCGACCCTGGCTGACGTGTAAACGTAGCCAGGTGACGACCCGTGCTAGCCTCCGTGCAGTGCGTCACTCGCTGACTAGCAGGGGTGAACTGGTGGACTCCCACATCCTGTAGGTCAGCACCACTCACCAAGTTCGTCGAGAACAAGGGGAGGTAGAGACCAGACAGGGTGCCAGAGGGAGCCGCCGGACACGGGAGGACCGTGGAGAAGCGAGCCAGGACAGGACCCCCAGAGGGGTCAGCCAGGGAAACCGCAACCGGCCGACTAAGCGGCGTAAGTGTGGTGCGGTCCCGAAAGAAAGAGCGAGACGCTCCAGAGTCAAGAGTGAAGGTTTGGGAGGCCGAAGCCGACGCAGTACCTGAGAGCGCAGACGCACTAGTACCTGAGAGAGCAGTCTCACGAGCACCTGAGAGCACAGACGCACTGGCACCTAGAGCAGAAGCCTCACCGGCACCTGGAGCAGCAGTACCAATGCCCGGGTCGGGCGGGAAACACCGGTAACAGTCACCCTCCTCACTAATGGTCACAGCATACATGGCAGCAAGG